GAGCGGCAGTCGGGGCGGGGGGGGGGTGTGGGGCTGGAGAGCGTTCCCTTCCCTCCCAAACCCAAGGCAAAGCAGGCGGGAAAGGCGACAGCTTGAAGGAAACGGTTAAAAGATCGTAATTCTTATCCGGGGAGCCAAAGCATCGCTGCAGCCCCTCGCCTCGGCCACTGCTTGCTCTCGGTTTGTAGCGCAGCCCGCTCCTCCGCCAAGGAGCACCGCGCCTGTTGCGGGTCGCTGGCCACGGGTGACAAACCCGCACCGGCTGCCAGGGTGTGTGAGATGACCAGCATTTGTGGGTCCATTAAAATGGTGATGTGAACTTTTCTACCTCGCGCTGTTGAATGTAGTAAACATGCTCGAGGTTGAAAATTTACTGTGAGTCACACTTACAAAGACTTTAAAAGTGGAGGAGTCTCGGTTCAGATTATAGCTGTTTCTGTGCAGAGGTCAAGAACTCGGTAATACTGCAACGCAGGCCAAAACAAACTCTATATGATCTACTACTGGTTTCCTTTTAAGTTCCCTTTTTGCTCGGCGTTGACTTCCTTTTATTCCACTCCAACTTACATTAATCCCCGTTGTAGAAATGTGTGTCCCCCCCCCCCCTTCCTCTCGTTTCTCTTTAAAAGCATCTCTGTAATGAAAATAAGTTATTTTTAGTGTCTTCTTTGTGGCCGTTTGGAGGGCCAAGGATTCAGATTGGAATCAGTGCAGGCGTATCCCCGGAGACCCCGCTCGCCTTCTCATCACTCAAACCTCATCCGAAGCCGAGGTTTTGAGAGGAGCTGTTCGTTCCCCGAGATCTTCTCGTGGTACCGTCGCAATAAACCATGGCGAGGCCTGTGTGGAGCTGGGGATGTCCTGCTCCCCGTCACACGTGGGATGCGGGTCGGTTCATCCCCTGTCGATGCCCGGTGGTCCCCGGGCCGTTCCCGCCTCCGGGCTTGCCGGGGAGCGGAGCCCGGCGGTGCCCACCCGCCTCCCGGCCCGTTTAGCCAGAGCTTGGGCAATCCCGGGTTTTCCGAGATGTAAACCTCGCAGGGTCGCGGGCTCAGCATATCCGCAGAAAAGGAATTTCTCCCCTTGGCCGCTGTCGGCAACAGAGATCATACAGGACCCCTCCCCGCAGCCCGTGTGAGGGGTGGGGGGGTGCCCCTCCGTGGGTGCCCTGGTGCCGGGGCACAGCCCACAGCCGAGAGACCGTGGCGCATCCCTCGGGAATCCCCTCGCAAAGCCTCAAGTCAAACGTCTCTGCCCCTTCAGCGCAGCTGAAACGCGCCCCCGCGCCGTGGGGTGTCGA